TCAGAAAAGAATCTGGATCACAAGTTGAGCCTGAGTCAAAGGCGTTCATGCTGTGGCAACAAAGGTGAGCATGACACCAGGCTCCCTGAATGGGAGCATCACTAGTAAAACCTTTGAAGCCATCCCGGTGCTGTGCGTGGCGCCGGAGCTATCGTGGGGCGTCCCCAGCCCGCCTGGCTCCCTGCCTGCCACCACCACGGCAGGTGCTCCGTGCTGGCTGGGATAATTTTGTTAGCTGCTTTTTCCGTTTCTAGGTGATTGCAGGGAGTGCTGTGCTAACATTTCATTCACTGTTTCATGAAAATTTTCTGCATTTCTTGTAATAGTAGTGAAATAATTGTGTCCTTTTAGGTTGGCATCAAAACGCATAGAAAAAGCTAAGCATGATTCTCAGCCCGGAAAAGAGATAGTTGAAAGAATATAAAACAAAGGGCTGTTCAATCACAAGCATTGTGGAAGGAGCGTGCGGGGCTTGTACACATGCCTTTTGTCATACGAGAAGTTTTGCATAAAGCTGCTAAGGACATACACAAGCAAACGGAAGAAGGTGGCTGCCTGTGTGCTGAAACAGTGGAGCTTGCCACGTTAAAGCGATTTAGGGTGTTGGATGTTAAGGATGCAAAAATTCTGTGTGTACAGGAAAACTAGAGCAGTGTGTGGAACAGAAATCTACTGTAAGTTTTTAAATGTAAAAAAAAGAAAAAACAAAACCCCAAACTGCAAAGTTTTATAATTCCCCAAGTTTCAGATTGGAGTATAGGAAAAACTTCTGGTGTAGTATTACTGTATGGTTGTTGGTGTCTCACACTGAGGATATTTGGTCTCAGTAAGTACAGCTGTTCTTATACTGCTTTATCTGCTTGTTTTGAGTGATAAATAATTTCCCGTTTTCTCTGCAGACAGACTATCTTGAAGTTACTAATCCACCTTATCAATAGCAAAGGTATCTTACCAGAAAAATGCTAACTTTAACTATGTTATGCAGTTCTTTCCCCAGTGTGTCTGCGCTCTGAGAACTGGTATGCAGAGCAGGTTATTTAGACTCCAGTGTGTAATATTTCCAGAGTGGAACAAGGCTTTTCAGAGTTTTCACAGAATGTGTGGGAATAAATGATAGTGATGAGATCTTGCTGTGATTAGTGTATATTCATAAAGAGTAGCTTATCATGTAACACTTTGTTCACACAAAGACTGTTCTTTCACAGACTTATCACCAGTCAGTCTGTGATCTCTTTTGAGGAAAAAATTTGTTTCATTTTTCTGGAATTTGAAATATTTTGAAACTACTTGCATACATGTTTCATTGAATCTTATGACATTCTTTTACTATTCTAAAGTATTCCATGCCTATTGTTTTAATGTCTCTTTCTATTTCAGTAATGTAAGAGAATAGGTATCATATTCAGTAAACAACTCTTAAAAGCTTATTAAGATGTATCAGAAAAGATTACCACAATTCTCAGGATTGATCCAATGCAATGAAGATTTATGTCATTTTTATATGCGAAGTTCAAGGTCATTTTCCTCATTGAAATATGTCATTGATACCTTACATTCATACTAAAAAAGGTAATTTCTGCTGTCCATGTAGAAATTGAAATTGCTCTTGAATAGAAAGAAAATATTATTGGAACTGTTATAGCAGAAATTGTTGTGTCTTAACTTTTTCTTAACTTGTAGATTTGGGGCTCATTTATACTCCAGACATTTAGATCACTTTGGCTACACAAATTAGCTTGCAAACAGAAGCAAAAGTAATTTTAAGGTCCATTTAAAGCCAAAGTAGGACAGAATATCCTCAGGATGAATAGAGATCACACTGTTTATGTTTAAATAACTTAAATTCCATCAGCATCCTAGGTATAACCAATTCAGAACAAGATTTTCCCTTTTGACATTTTGACACAAAATCCTATTCCCCTAAGTGAAAATACAGTAAAGTAGGTGTCAGTGTTAAGAGGTTTTTTAGATCTTTTTCATGATTACGTAATGCCATTTTTTACTTTCACTCTTTATTTGGGCCAGACTGTTCTTTCCTTATTTTTAACTTTTCAATTCCCTTTGTTCCTTTATGATATTTTTAAAGAACCTTCCTCTTCAAATTGAGCACATAACGTGATGTTTTAAAAAAGAAAGATCTGAAGGTCTCTGCTTAGGTCTCTGTCTTGCTCACTGCAGCCACTCATTATGTAACTGCATAAGCTAGGGTATTGTCAAGTGTATTTAAGTTTTGTCAAGGGAGGTCTGTGTACTTCTGTTTAAGTGACAAGGCTAAGATACATATCCCTCACTCCCACTTGTGCCCCAATCCTAGCCTGTCTTCTGATTTGCTGAAATAGATGGTTTCCTTCTTTCCCTTATTCCTGCTAAACCTCATTCTCTGAAAGCTCTTTTTGTACAGGTTGTCTAGAGCTCGGCTTCACTGTCCCTGGGAAAGCTCTTTCCACTCCCTTTAAACTGTTCCTAATGATTCCTTCCCAGCTGCCAGGTATTAGTGGCCGTGTTTCATCATTGCTTTTTGTCATTTGTCAGCCATATCAACTCTGCCTGTGATCTCTTTTTCTCATTTTTGTCTTTCAATGACTCCATCCTCTCCCAAATCTCACCAAATCTCTACTCAAGCATATCAACTGGAGATCCTCCTGCTTTGAGCATGGATCTTGCTGGCACATCTTAGTTTCTTTCTTGTTCCCTTCACACCTTCCTTCCGATGTAGCTCATCTGTGTATGATCCTGCTTCTAAGGGTCTTTTACTCATTATGTTCTGAGTTACTTCTCGGATGAACCTAGTACCTTCCCTGACAACACTGCTTGGCTCTGCGTTGTTGTAAAAGCAAACAGGTTAGTTTAAATTATATGGGTTAAGCTGACACGATCTGAAACAAAGGGAGAAGTTGAACAGGTTTATCTTAGTCCCACTCAAGAGCAGTTACAGCCCAGACTTCCAGCAAGGGCAGCACCTGCCATCCCCTACCTGAGACTGGTGCTTGGTGCTGTGAAAACCTTGGCTCACTGTGAGGGTTCTTTACTGGCTGAAAACACACCACTTCATTTGAAAGGCTGATTCTGAATTTTTGGTCACTGCTTTGCCTGTTTTTTTGAGAGGACAGCTCTTGTGATTTTTTGTTTTCTCTGCAGAGACATAGCCGTAATTTTGTGTTCTCCATTTCATCACAGTACACTGTCAGAAATTTTCCTGTTGCTCAGTAGTTCTGACTTCTACATTCATGCAGCTGTAAAGACTCAATCTATCATTCAGCACAGTGGAGCTGACTGCTTAATGGGAAGAACTCTTTTGAAAGAATGTTCTAATAAATTTGACACAAAACAATTTTTTTGAAAATATAATACGCATACATGTATTTTCTAATTCTTCTTTTTTGAAGTGGGAACCCTAGAATTTGAATGTTGTAAAAATCAGAGAAAAGAACAGATATCTTTGAAGACATTTGTTCCTGGACATATCATAGTGTTGTCATGTGTCAACAACAACATTTGTTATTTATTGTAAGTTGTTATTTAGTGTCAGCTCACCTCTTGGAGATTATCATGTCAACATTTCTGAGGCAGAGACAAGGACTAAAACTCCTCTTCATGTGGTTAGGTTGACCACTGATGTAAGTCTACTGGCTTTTTGTAACTGCAGAAATTTAACCAGTGTTCTTGCTCAACTTGGGCAGGGTTTTATGTACTGGTTAGTTGCCATACAAGGCAGACTTATTTAAGCTAATTTTACTGGTTTTTTTTCTTTTTTCCAGGTGAAATGCATGGTATCATGTATTATGTATTATGATTTAATATTCAATTTCAAAGATCTAATTCCACTATTGTACTGAAGCTCTGTTTGCTTCAAACAGACTGTGTGGGTGCTGAAGTCGAGAATGATGAGACCTTTTGGCAACCTGTGATCAATAGCTGCAAATTGATAGAAAGTGCAGAGCACTGGGGTGGAATAGGTGGCTTTTGAGCTCTTCCTGTCCAAATAATGCCTTGAGGTCTTGTTGATTTACTCATAATTTTGGACATTTTTAATGGGTGTTTAAATTAAGTAATCCCTCAGCAAATTTTAATCCGGTTTAAAGAGAAAAAATATAGCAAAAGTTACAAGGGAAGAGATTTCTTGTTTTGAAAATAGACCAAAACTACACTGAGATTGTTTATAGCTGTTGGAATCCCCATCCACACAGAAGTTTGGAACTTTGCTTAGTTTTCTAGACATTAGAAAAAATTCAGTATTTTCTTATCAGCATTATTTTCTTATGAAATGAGATCAGGTAGGAGTTTTAATGGGACTGAAAAAGGAGATCAAGTCTTTACTGTGCTATCCTATACTATATTGTTTAATAATTGCACTTTAACTTTAGGCTGTGCTCGTGGCTCCATGTGGAGGTGTGGAGCAGAAGAGAGGGAAGTGGACATTGATAAAGGAAATACCTCCCTTCTGTTCAGGGAAGTTTATGTGGGATTTGTTCAAAAGGCATATCCAGGCAAATAATTGTTTGCAAATCAGTCTGGTTTGTACTGTACTTTGGAGTTATTCCTAATTTTATTACACATTTTAAATTGTTATACACAACATATTTTCTTCCTAAAACAAACACCATTTCTCTCCCTGGTGAGTGACTCTAGTAATTACAAAACCACCTAATTAACCTTTAATACTGTTTACTGGCTTGTTTGGTGAAACAGAGAAGCACTTTTTATGGCTTCTGAATTATTTTAATATTTTAGGATTCTGTAAGAAAAAAATTCATTTTTTTTACTTCAAAGAGATCACATTTAAGCCAATGCCTCAAACATCTCCCTGAATGAATTCGTCTATAGATTTTTCAGCTGTGTTGTGGTTGCATAAAAGTACTTTGAGTTTCTGTTTTACTTCTATTACTTGTGTTTACTAATTATGTCTTCAGCATTGAAAGCTCTGCAGAAAGTCAAGACGAGTTTGTTTCTGAATACATTACCTTTCTCCCTCCCCCTGTTTTTATTCTTTATTGCTCGAGCTGGTGCACTGAAGCATGACAAGAACTCAAACTCGGCAAGCTTCCAAGATGTGGAGGATACGCCTGACAGATGTGTCTTGGAAGAGTCTGAGAGTCCAGGTGAGAGGCACTTAAAGACAGTCACCAAGTATCAGGTGATAAATCTGACACAGCTTTTGGGTCTGTAAAAAAAGCACATAGTGATGCTGTTTCCTTTTTAGCAGCTGCAATGTCAAATTAATGGTCACCTCCAGGGGTCACAGTGTGGAGCTGTTATCCTTTCCTCTTTCATCAAGAATTCAGGTCTTAGAAAGGATAAAGGCTTTATGACCAAAAAGAAAGCTGACACTACTAGTTCATTATAATTAGTTTTGGACTACACTGCTTACTTAATATACGTACAATGTCTGACCCTTTGAAGGTAGCATGAGATTATGAAAAATTAGAAGGTCTAAATAGACTGCATTTGAATGTCGTGTCAGACATTCAAGCACTGTATATCTGGAGGAAACCAAATTGGTGGCATTACATAGGTTGATTCTTTTCTTTAAATCAGCTCACAATCATTATTTTGTTTTAATGGCTCTTAACATTGATTCATCTAAATACAGGAACATCCGTAAAGTGCATCCTTTTTGGTGACTAAAAGATTTATCTTCATATAGTTTCGTTATCTTTTTCATTATGGAACATCTACAAACTTTATTCAATGAATCCCTAAGGGAAACAATTATATTTAAAATGTATGAAGTCACAGCTGATTAAAAACATTCTGTGTGACTAAATACTAAGATCTTTTACACAAACTGTGAGCTCAACCCATGTACACCATATACGTAAGCTGCACATAGTCCTCATTAGTGAAAGAGTTAAACATCTTTCTTCACTTGGTATTTCCCTTCCTTGCTTTATCTGGTTTCTTTGTACCCTCTTGCATCTTTGTGTGCTGATCCGTGTATCATATTTTTGATTCATCGTCTCTGCGGCCTGTCAGCTTAGTTAAGAGATTTCCAAATCTTGCAGCCTGTGCTGACAGGGGGCAGCTGCCAACAGTCCCCTGATCCTTCCCCAAGGAACACTGCTGAGATTTAATTTTCAGTCAAAGGGTGCAGTCTGAAATCCATGTCAGGTCCCCTAAGTCATCTCAGAACCCAGATAGGACCCGTGTCTGGGGGATTATATTTCGGCACACTCCACTCCTCCAAGATTCCTTGGCAGTTAAACTGCTGTCATATACCTGGTTTGAACTACATTCCCTTTTCATCCTTTCCACAGAAATGAACACCAGTGTATGTTAGAATAGTTGAAACCAATGAATTGTAAATCTGTATTCATTTTAAAGCCACATAGGCTTGGATGTGATGCTGTACAGCAGAAACCAGCATGGGATTTAGAGAAAAACCAGGTAATCTACTGAGGAAGGAGTCAAATTTAATTCCTTAGCACAGCTACAGTTTGTGGTGCATGATACCTCCTTCAGAACCTGTCTATAGTCCATTCAACAACGATTGTGGGCAAGAATGTGGATTGTCCAAGTTCTGATCTGTTCTGAAGTGAGAGGGAATTAAAACAAGGTGGAACTAAAGAGTTCAAGAGAGAATTAATGTGGCTTAAAGATAAGATTAATTTTAATCTTAAATTAGTTCTGTGTGGCGAAGTGTACACAGTTGGATGGGAACTTGAATATCCAGTTGTGCACTCTGCATGTCTACAAAGTAATGGAAGGAATAAAAGCCTGTCAGGAAGTGAATATTGACTGGCAAAAATGCATGTTGATAAAGCATCTAAACTTAAAAACTGAGTTCCATACAGTCCATCTGACATCATTAAACTAGTAATAAACAATGAATTACTCTGGCTTTTGTTTCTGTCCATTCCTGCATTTTAAGACATCTTGTCTTATAGGTCTGAAAACCTCAGGAGATTTCACTACTGGTCTCACTGCTTTCCACTGAGAATTTGTGGCTTGGTTGTCATGGAGACATCGTATTTCTCCAAGAATTGCTCATATTGATCCGTGGACAGGCGTAAATGGCCAGGCGAATGTGAGGAGTAAAGGGGGTTGGGCAGTACTATAAAATGACCAGAGGTTATGGGTCGGAAATAAGCTCATAGCAAACACTTAGGTAAAGAGAAAGAAACAGTTTCGTTTTGTTTCAGGAATTCGTTTTTGCACTTTATGCCATTGTCTTCTTTCACTATAGACTGAAAGAAACTTGTTAGTCACTTGTCATGTCAGATCTTTGGTGCTTGTCCTGACACAGCTGTCAGCCTTCCAGCGCTGTGCAGTTCAGGGACACACAACAAAGAGCCAGGAACATGAATTATTTATTGCTCCTTGTGCGGATGAAATTCTGTGATAAGAAATTAAGACACTTCTGCCAGAAGTGGTGGTTTGAAAGGAAAGATTTGGTAGCACAATACATTTACTTGAAACTTACCACTTACTTTTAGTATCAAACATTGAAACAATAATGTGACATTCGGTTGGCTGTGACTTTCTCTAGTATTTTTCAGGTGCTTTAGCTTTGAATTCTATGTTGAAATTCGAGGATGCCTGGGAGGTCAGCATTTGTTTTGGTGAAACCTATGACTTTGGAATCTCTCTCACACATTCAAAGTCTTGACAAGCTTACAAACTTTATAGATCTATATACGTGTTTTACAGTCTCTTGCACTTCACTTACGATATGCTGTCATGTGTGCAGAAGTGATGTTAAGAAATGTATAGATTTTATTACCTCTTCTCATGAGGCAAACGTGAAAATATGACAATACACCTGCAAGAAATTCCAACTATTCCTAGAAAGGCTTCTTTATTACAACTTCTGCCAGAATTGGGAAGGCTGTAGAGCAGCCATTAACGGACATGTCTGTGCATTGTGTTTTCTTATGACAGCAGGTGCAGCCTCTAATACTGATGTTAGATAGAGAGTTATTTTCAAAGTGATCTTAATTTTCTGAAATCACAAAGCTTACTCTGCTTATCTTACTTTCACATTTTCTATGTCTGCACATGTTCTCACTGCTCTGGATGTGGACCTTCAGCAATTGTATAAAAAGGCATATACTCAGATGAATAGCAGGAATCCATTTGACTACCCGAGACACCAATCTGAGATTTACCTGTGATTTCTTGCATTTGATGTGTGATCTGAACTACTCTCAGATACGTAATGAAACCCCTCAACCTGCACTTTTCTCTTGGATAATTCACAGTAAACACTTCTCACATGTGATGGACACAGGTAAATATCAGACTGCAGTTTCTTGCCTAAGTGAAATGGATTTTAGTTGCTCCCTTCGTGTGCCTACAGGCTGCCATTATCTGTGATAGTGGCTCATGTCTATTTTAGCCCACACACAGAGGAGATGCTGGGCTTCTCTCTCAATGCCTAATAGTAGGTTTATCACTGCCATTTTCCCCACATGCTGAGGACTTCTTCTGTTTGACATGCAAAGCCTTGGCTTTTCAAACTCGTCTCCGCTCTGGTCTTGAACATAATAATCAGATAAGAATTACGGCAGCTTTTTGTAGAACTTGACTTGTAATCATATCAACCCCCTGTGAAGAATTCACTATCTCTTAGAGTGCTGCTTTAATATAAATAAATATTCCCAACAGTGTTTTTCGTTTGATCAGACAAATTTTCCACCTTTAGGGAAACGGAGAAAGAGGCTGAAACTGAGTGATCATGGATGTGTAAGTTAGACTCCTAGATCTGACCTATTCACCCAGGTTTTCTTGTACAAACAATGGTGGAAAATTCACACCTCCAGAGGGCAGGTCATCTTGTCTAAAGGGACTTGCCTGAGATCAGTTTTAAGGGGATTGAAAATGCTCTGAATTTTGCCAGTCAGAATCTAAGAGGATTGTAGCAGGACTTGACACCACTTGAGGTGTCTTAGCTTTCATATGTGGTGCAATCCCAAGGAGAATTCTGCAAGTATAGCTCTTATGAGAAAGAGGAATGGATTTGAGCCGAAGTCAAAAGAAACAATGTAGGCACAGATGCCCCTTGCCTCTTATTTCCCCCAACAGAGATATTACAGTAGAATAGGCAATGATTATTACTTCACTTGATAATAGAGGGAAATTGAGCCTCCCTAATGGAAGATTGAGTTGGAAGCTGTAGACAGAAATTGCAGAGTATTTTTTATCTCTTGGATGAAAACCATGTAAATGGCAGGAACCCTTATGCTTGTGGCCTTGAGTAGCCAGATAGTCTCTGCCTGAGCCAGTTGGTCTCTCTGCAGCTCTCCTATCCCTTCATTTCGAATTTTTTTTTGCTTTTCAGGACAGAATGTAATTCTGAGTGTGTAATAGATAATAGTAAAAATGTGAGCAGTTTTCGCGCTCTTTTTTAGTTACTTGTCCTGGATAAATCTTGGCACAGAGATGGGAGAGACCTCAGACTGTCCCTGAGAGACAGAACTGCAGCACATGGAAATGAGAAAGTATCAAGAACAACAGATTCTTATTAGTCCAAGTGTGCTTGACTGCTCTTGAGCAGTACACAGGCAGAACATAAAGGTAAATATTCAGTAAATTTCCAAGTATGAAGGACCCTCAAAGAGTGTGATCTTCTTTTTGTTTTTTTTTAAAAAAGTGAGTAGCAGGGGCTGAGGACCGATTCAGGAATGGAGTGCTGGAGGCTGGTGGTGATGATGATGCATGAGGCAGAAAGAGGATGTGATGCAGGCGCAGCCCACTGGTCATGGCCACTGATCGCCCACACTGCTCAGTGACTGCCTATAAAATGTTAGTGCCTACAAATTATTCCAGACAAAAAATCTGGAAATTATGATGTAGGCACAGATGAATCCATAAGAATTTCACTGCAATAGAAGTAGTGTTACGTGCCAAAGGTTTTGGGTTGGTTTGGGGTTTTTTAAATAGTAAAACAAACTGTAAAAGCAGAAAACTACATAAGGGACATCAAGAAAATGTGTATCTCTCTGTGTCTATGATAAAGCTAGACAGAAAGATGATAAATTTACAATATAGGCATTAGACTGGATAAAATAGTGTGGACTGTTTTCTCGATGTTTGATTGAGAGGGCATTTCTGTGGAATTCTAATAAGCTCAGACAGAATTAAAGCATAATGCTTTATTACTAGAACTTCCTATTACTTCTGTCTAAAACTATTGTAGGATTATTTCTGCTGAAATAAAATATGTATAACTTGAAAATTATATTTGCAGAGGAAAAAATAAACAGTCTGTTAATTTAAAACAAAAAATATTTCTGCTGATGCGCTGAAATGTTTTCCTTGAAATAAAAAAGAAGTTTGTTCAGGAGAAAAGTTTTGAGGAACATCATTCATTCTCTTGAGCTGTTTTTGGTTCTATGGTGCCTCGTGCAGTATAGCAATTATAATGTAAACAGTCTTATGGAGGTAGATTTGTGGTATTTTTTAACACTGGCATGTTGGTCCTGAAAGTTTTCAAATCATTACAAAAATTACAGAGTTTATTGCTCTCTAAAAGGATTGCAAAGAAACATTATTTAAAAACAAAATCTTGCTTATTGCCTCAAAGTGTTAAATTAAACTAAGGCGAATGAATACATTTCTTTTCCAGATGACGTGAAGCCACATCCCTGGATATCTAAGGTGTGCTCCTGTAAGGTGTGTTAGAAAACCCTGCTTAGCCAAAAGAATTAGAAGATGCACAAGAACAGCCAAGAAACAGGACGTACGTGGCATGGACATGAAATGGCTTGTTGAATTTATTATTGTATACCTTCATCAATTCATTTTCAGAAGAAATACATCCCATAAGATCAGCGATTTTTTGCTGCTTTATTGGCTCTAATTCACGCTTCCATCACTAATAGATTTACATTTATTCAATTAACTTTAGATAGATCTAGCATAGAAAATATCAAGTCTTTATTTTAGAGGTTTTTCACTAGTTTATGTAGTGATCCCAAATCTTACCACTGATTGACTATAAAGCATTACCATTGATTTTAATATTCCTTTACATCCATTAGATTTAAATTTTTCTCTCTCCTTGCTTCTGACTTTTATTACCAGTTACATTTTAATTCTGAGCAAAACCAAATGCATTTGAAATAATTACAAAATTTGTTTGATTTTAAAGTAAAAATGCACATTTTGAATTAAAACAACTAAAATACAAAGAATGTTCTGTGTACAGGAGAGCATGGGAAATTGATCTTGTCATGCCTAGGATGTAAATTTTTCTTTTCTATAAATACTGCCATCACCATCATCTCTAGCAGTGTAGTAGCAATAGGAAGGTGGAGAAGCCCATTGGAGTCCTCCTCTGAAATGACACACTTCATTGAATATCTATTTGTGCTCAGTGGCAAAAGCAGCTCTATGTTTTTGTCTTTTTAAAATGTATATGTATCATTATGTTTGGAGAATATTTGCAGCTTGTTAGACTCATTTACCACCTATTGTTCTGGGGGATTTATGCTGGTTTGACAAATAACAGCCTCTCAGAGCAGTAAACTCACTTTCTGTATTACCAATAATCAGAGTGTAAGTGAAGTCAAAGGCATTTGCAGATGCGCTTTTCAGGATCTGTATCTTATGGTGGAAATCATATCTTCCCTAGTTGTCACGTTAGCCATAAGCTGCCTTGATTGGCAGAGAGAAGATTTCTCCAGCGTGGAAAGATTCTCCAGCAGTGAACCTCTTTCTTACTTGTGGGGAACTGTTGTGGCTGCAGGAGTGACAAAAGCTAGTTTCTGTTGCCATACTGTGGCTTGAATTTGGTTAAACATAAAACAGGCATGAAATGTTTCTTCTGGTTTTTTTATATCCCATGAGTTCATATTTCTAAGTGCAGTGTATGGCGGCAAGGTATTCAGAAACACTGAGCAAAGGGCCTTCTGCAAAGTAGTATTTCAGCTTTTATTCAGCTAAAGAATATGCCTTTAAAATAGGCTGCAATCCAGAGAACATAGAGATATTTAGTGTTATTTTGTAGTTGTAATACCATGCAGAAAAATGGCAGCTATTAACAGAAAAGTCACTGGGTTTTACACATTTGGTACTTTTCAGAAACAACTTTACTTATTCCTAGAAGGTATATTCCCATGTAAAACATATCTTTTGTTTATATAAGCTTGTGTTTGAACTATGGTGACAATCTGGATGTCGAGTGTTACAGCTTCATTCTTTCACTTATTGTGCTGGTTGTCTGGAATAATTTCACTGACTTACACTTGTACAACACAACTGAGGGTGGAACGTGTCCTCAGCTGACATATATCCTCTTAACTTTTATAGTTAAATCAGAGTTGCAAAGATCAAGCAGGTAAAAACAAAACTGCAAATGCAACTACAGGAACTTAGTAACACTACAGGAACATTGCAGAAAAGAAGATGAATGACAGCTGAAGGATGGACCTTGCCATCTTCTTTGCCACACATCCTTGTTGACAGTCACCTCTGGGTTTCTGCAGTGGTCTCCCATTGGCGTTGGAAAGTCCATTTCCCTTCACAACAAATGTTATGGCTTTGCATCAGCATCTGCTCACTTGGGCGGGCTCTGTTCTTAGTGCCAGGGTAACAAATCTCCTTAAAACTATTTGTGCAAGATATTTTCAAAATTGATGTGTTCAAAGAGGTCTCATAGCTCAAGAAATTGGCATTGTCTGTAACACTCAGTACTGCTGTAGTAGTAGCAATTACATTTGCGCAACACAATATTTGATTGCTTGTCTTTAATTCTGCAAAGCAGTGCACATCAGCAGACTGCCAATACAGACGGCCCTTTGGAACAGTTTCTGCGGCCACGATTGGTGTTTGGCACATGCTTATGTGTGCTGTGTGCTAATTTTAATTACAGTGTCAGTAAGGTAAGGCAGGAACTTTTTTTATCAGGTACATTTATTTCCCAGTAAAGCAAATTTCCCGTGTGGTCTGGATGTCTTTGAAACAACCAAATTCGCAGTTTGTGTTGAAGATGAAGTCTTGCTTAGCGTTATCTTTTTGCATCTAACTGACAATTTTAGAGCTATATACAAAAATAGATATTAACCTCCTGCAATTGTTTCTTGTAAGCCATAACTGAAGAAACATTTCTATACTAAGGCATTGCTAGGCTAATGCTTTTGCTGAAGGATTTTAAAGGCCTTTTCCAGATGAAAGAGTTCTATGATACTGTGATGTACCACTATATTCATGCTTATGGAGCTGGATTTTACAGCAAGGCTGCAAGACAAATGAGAATGTATTTTTCTATTGTGTCACACTGAAGGAATGCTACTGAGAAAAGTAACCTGCTAATATTTTAGAGTGGTTGTCTAAATTTTAGATATGGGGTAAAAAATTCATGAATACCTAAACTGTTAAAGGAGTAAGGTCATTTTTTTTTACTATTTTCTTTTTTTACCATCCAGAAGCTACAGAGTCCAGTAAACTCTCTGGCTTTATAGTCAGGGCAATTTCTCCCTACTTCAGCCACGTGCCTCCTTGTCCCCTCATTTATGTTTGCACTAGAGCTCGTATGACCAGACCACGTCAATACAAGCACTGGCCTCCCTGCAAAGTGCAAGGGCAGAATGAGCCAGCAGGGGTAGGAAGAAGGCAGAGGTACCATGTAAGTGCGGGACAGCCCACGTGTACATCAACATTATCTCAGTGTGAGTTCGGAGTTTCAGGGTGCTACATGCAGGAGTCTGTCTTGGAAATAGATTTTCAGCTTTTAAATGCTATAGGCATTTTTTCATCATATGCATAATTCATTGTATTGTCTTTTTAAAAATTAAAAGTTCCTGGTCCTTTAGTATAAGCCCATACCAAAACTCATTGATGTCTCTGTGATTTGAGGGATTTTGAGTTTCCCAAGTGATTCATACTTGCTAAGTGGTCACTGACCTAGATTCTTGCTCAGAAACTTTGAACTGTTTGTTGATGGCTCCAATTCCAAACATTATATTTTGAAATCTCTTGTGCTGTTTACGTATTTTTAATTTGATCATTGAAATCAACTGTTTCCTTATTTGGTTTGTATTTTTTTGAGCAACATTCTTCCTCAATCCAGTGAAAGATATTCTGAAAGTAAATTGGCATGGAACTTGAAATATGGATATGAGATTGAGTGTTACGTTTAAATGAAAGAGACACTTTAACAAAACCACTGTGTAACAGGGTTACAAGCACCAGACAGCACCAGAAATCTAGCAAAGGAAGTGATTTTGCAAGTTTGACTGAGATGAAGTGTTGAAAATTCAGAAAAGCATGGGACAGGTGCAGTAAGCAGCATTACCTCTCTCCAGATTTTTACTCCTTTTCGAAGAGCGTATTCTTTGAAGATAGACTGGGGCACAAATCTCAAAGTCACTGTGGCAGTGCTAAATAGCACTGCATGCACATTCCTGGGGGTCCATGAAGACAAAGTCCTGCTTCTCTCAGTGGATATTTCTGCTGAATTTTGTAGGCCATTCCTCTTGCATGAGAAAAGGAAGCAGAGGAATTTCAGAGGCTAGTCTTTCCCTTTTTCCTTCCTCCTAGGTTATGCAGTCTGCAGTACCAGGCAAAGCTCTTAGAATTATTACTAGAGTTTGGGCTGGATTGTAATTCGAATTCATTGATCTCAAAGTGAAAAATCATCTATATTATTTTTGAAGAGGTAATACTGAACTTGAATGTGACATAAAATCCACACAATAAGCCATGATTGTCTTATTTGGGACCATGGGAAGTTTGTTTCTCAAATGACACCTGCTGGAAAGTCTAAAGTGTATCCAGGGGCTGTGCTGCTGGACAGAGGCACATCACGTGAAGACTGCCTTCCCCATCGTCCGATGAATCTTGAGTGTCCTGGTTATGGTGTGAAGGGTAAGTACAAATACAGCTGTCAAGGTGAAGCAGTGCAAATTGCTAAACAATACCAAATCTTATGAAACTTAAACATCTGCAGGGTTTTTTTGAGTTGACTGTGCAGTTGATAAAACTCTTACGCAGCACAAATTTAATTGTGCTTAATTTTTTCTTTCATATATTACAGGAAAACTTAGCTTGAGAAGACAAGAGTTGTGCAGACTGAATTTTCATTGTGTCTTGCAAGCATAGGATAAAAGCTGTTTTTCTTCCTCTGGCAATACTCAGATAGCTGTGAAAAATAGCATCACTGGAGTAAGTAGTACCTGCCATTTCATTAAGTACATTACTCCCTCTATTTTTAAAACTAAGAGATTTTTTAACTTTTTGCATTTGAAAGCCTAATACTCGGCAGAAAAAAAAATTACCAATATCCAGCAGTAGAAAAAATAATATTTTCCTTACTTACTCCCAAATTTTATCTAAGTAATATGTAAAGTTCTTAATAATAAGGACATGGAGAAATTGTTTTCTGAATCATTATGAATTTTCCACACAGAAACTAAGGGTAATAAAAGATTCTGTTCAGTTTGGGGACTTTATTTTCTATAGTCACACTGACAAACAGGCTTACGGTTTTGCCTGTTAAATGCAACATTACATATTTTTGTTGTTTGGTTTGGCTTATAGTCTTCCTGCCATGTAGATGGCAGCAGCACTCAAGCCTTGAAATTCACTCCAGCTTTTTTTTGAGTTTATTCTGAAACACCATGTTTAAGAATATTATTGTTGGGAATGAACTGAAAGCATGATTGCTTTAAAGATGGATATCA